AAACTGATTTAAATATTAACAGTACTGTATGCTTTCTTTAAATTTATAATCTATGCATAACTATTATAATTATTCTCACTTGACGCTGTAAGCGATTATTGTAAGACACATTTCCGATGGTGACGAATATAATAAAATATATACTACCATACGTCTTGTATATGAACTGTAATGTGGCAACGATAGCTAGACCAAACATTGCCAAATTGTTTCAGGCCCGTGCCAATGACACGAAGCCTTACTGCTTCAATAAACCCTTGGGGTTGAACTCCGATAGGGTTGAGCCCCGACATAGCCCCGACTGTATACGCAGGGCCAACCATCGGAGCCTAAATCCTGCCCTCAATTGTCTTCTTCAACTTGAAGTAACCTTTCATTTCAATTATCGTGGAGACAATATCATTTGTAACTTCACAACAATTACATGTACAAGAGTGAACAAACATTACTTTTCTATGATGCAGAATTAATGAAATCTGATGCGTCTTGGAATCATTCATAATAAAAATGAGAGCAACCAAAGGCATAAAAAAAAAATCATTTTACATTTACTGTAACCTATTAGTTTCAAAATACAATAATTTCCAGTATCTGTATCCAATAATTATGCAAATTTATGAGGTTACTGGATCCAGTTTGACCTCTTGACCTTATCAGCAGATTAACACAAACACAGAATAAAAATACTTTAATCATCCTAGCTTTCATCGGAAAGTATATTTTTGTAAAAAAAATAAATGATCGAACTCTAAAATTTGTCTACTATCACGTAATCTTGTATGAACGAAAAAATATCGACAGTGGATATAACGAGTTCTGTTAATGGGGGGGGGGCTATTTCTGTCGCTGATCTTCAAAGCAGATCACATCGTTCTAAAGATTTGAAGGTGACTACACAAATGCATGTATTAGACAGACATAAGATTGACCTTTCTCAGATTGCAAATGATTATGAAATGAACGCTCAAAATTAGCTCAGTGCAGTGTGCATGTAGTGTGTTTGATTGTGCAAATTTTAAAAAACCTCACTGACACAGCTTGACGCAAACTCTGAAAGCAAAAGTAATAGTTAGGCTGATATTTTCTTCCCAGTACCTGTTAGAAAACGTGAATACAATTTTTTATTATTATTAAAATACCAGAATTTATGCCAGAGTACACTTTACAGCAAAAGTATTGCTGAGATGTGTAGACAATACTTTCATTGTACAAATGTAAATAAAGTTATTTTATGTACTCCACTATTCACCTGCATTTGTACATTCACGCAGATAATGATATAATGTAATGAGAGAATACTGCAAAGCATGAAGTCAGGCAGTACAGGATTGCATCAACTTCACTACATGTCAGTCGATACACTTTACTGTAACCATGAGAGTACCGGACTACTTGCTGTGATTGGGTTGTCAATGTATATCCTTCCACACTTTACTGTAACTATGAGAGTACCGGACTACTTGCTGTGATTGGGTTGTCAATGTATATCCTTCCACACTTTACTGCAACTATGAGAGTACCGGACTACTTGCTGTGATTGTGTTGTCAAGGTATATCCTTCCACACTTTACTGTAACTATGAGAGTACCGGACTACTTGCTGTGATTGGGTTGTCAATGTATATCCTTCTACACTTTACTGTAACTATGAGAGTACCGGACTACTTGCTGTGATTGT